AATCTAACAAATTATTTCTCAATTAACATTCTACGATAATTAAACATATTGAAAGAAGAAGTGCCCCACGTTGGACGCCAATAAATATTGATTTAGATTTGTCTATTAATCTGTTAAAGTTATGTAAACTAGTAGTTTCTATCAAAGCATTACATTTAACGATGAAAGTGCCCCACGTTAGACGCCAATATACAAACTACTAGTTTCTATCAGAACGTTATATTTTCAACAATTAAAGTGCCCCACGTTAGGCGCCACTATATAAACTAACAGTTTTTATCAAAACGTTACTTTTAACGATGAGAATTCAAATAGTTAACATGAATACGAACCACAAATTTCTATCAAAACGTTATTTACTGTGATGCTTTTCTGTCAGTTCCTACTGCATATTTATGTGATACCCTACTTGATGGACACCTCCATTACAGCAATAAGTAAGAAGATTTGCATGTCGCCGAGATTTCGAAAGGACTAGCACAGAGTTTGCGTGACGCTCGGAGGTCCTTTTGTGCAGGAATTGATTTACTCATTACAACCCTAACAGGCGGATGCCACCGTCATGCGCTGCGAAAGTCTCGTGAAAACATGACTGAACCATAACAAGGTAGCGTGTAATCGCCCAAAAATATTTTTTTTTTGTTAAATAAAATATATATAATTATAACAATTTGTTTATCACAAAATTGATTAATTTATAGATTTTCAAATGTCTTTAGTACTAAAAGTTCATTGTTCATAAAGCCAAAATATTATTATATATCATAGTATTCGAAGCAAAACGTTTTAAATGAACGGTCGTAAATTAGAGTAAAAAGCAATCGTTGCAGCGGATTTCTGGTGACCGCAGTGAATTATTGGGATGATGAATTTGGTTGCATGTCCAGCGACGGCATGTATATATTATTTGTGTATATATGCACATTGGCTGTGTGTAAACAGCAGAAACATACTGTTTACTCCTATAATTTATGAACAAATTTTGCGCAGAACAAGAAATTATCATCAGGGGTCAATCCTCCGGGCGGAGGAAACCCGGGCTCCGCACATTCAAAGTTACCATCCTAATTACCAACTGCACTATATCATGATAATGTAAACTTTGTTCACTTCGTGAAACTAACAATCAAACTTTAATTGAAATTAATTCGTACGCACTGGAACCGAGCAAAATTTACACTTCTTAACAAACTGCATTCAATTTGTTACAACTGAATGTATTAATTATAATTAATATAGGCAATATTTAATATACATTCGATAATACGTACATAACTATTGAGCACAATCATACAATGATGAGAGTCACATCAATAGTCAGTTTTATTCACATTTATAATTTAACTTCTGTTTAAGTTAACATTTGTTTCTGAAAAAACAAAAGTTGTTTCTCAATTTGTTAAAGTCTAACATTATTTGATGTAAAATTTTAAGAAGATCGGTAAGAATGGATAGGAGAAAATGCAAGATTAGTGATGTAATGTTGGTAGAAATTCCACCACCAACACTGCAAAAAATTGTTTTACCATTCCCTACGGTTTTCGAAATCAACTAAAGCCTATGCAAATTTTTCAGGAATACCAAAATTTATATGGAGTGAATGCATCATTCCTTATGACCATTTCCAAGTAGTTTCTAAGATTCCAAACCGAGCATTTTTCTGTTGAGGAAGAATCTCGTGATGGTGTCCCGAAATCTTTCACCGACGACACAAATGTAGCCCTGGCAAAGGCAAAAATTGACGAAGATCCAAGAATGACACAAGAAATGATAGGTGATGAACTAGGCTTGAATGCCATGGCTGTGTCGAGAATATTAAGTCATTACTTGGGCTACACGAAGAAATCCGCACGATGGGTTTCAGGAATTTTAAATGACGACCGAAAAATGGCACGAGTTTGTTTAGAAATATTTGAAAATGGAGAGTCTAGCAACTTTAGGAAAATAATAACAGGTGATAAATCTTGGTTATATAAGTACGATCCGGAGACCAAACAGCAGTCCATGGTATGGAGCGCAGAAGATGCAAATCCCCCCCAGTTAAAGCAAGACAACGAAAATCAGCTACAAAAGTGATGGTGTCAAGTTACTTTACCAGAGCAAAAGTGGTAGCTGCTATCCCACTGGAAACTGGCCAGACGGTAACTGCTAAGTGGTATATAGAAACTTGCTTACCACAAGTTTTCAAAAATTTGTTGGGAGACCAGAAAAAAGGGAAACTCACACTACTGTAAAAACGAACAACCAGCCGATTTTGACGAATGTTTTGAATAGTGGCTCTACCGACTTAAGAAATGTATTGAAATAAATGGAAATTATGTTGAGAAATTATAAAAGGATGAAAATTAAATATGTTAAAATATTTTTTGTTTGTTTTTTTTTCAGCCAACTAAGCGAACTTTTGTTAGACCCCACTTACATGATATTAGATGACGAAAAAGCGTACGTTCATATGAACATGTACGTTTGTGTAAACATAGAGGTACGTGTCATCGAAACAAATAATAAATATAATATCGAAAAAGTGTACGTTCACATGAACATATACGTTTGTGGGAAATTAAAGACACGTATTTGTCAAAAAGAAACATAAAAACGATGTCAAAAAAGAATTGACGTAAAAGTGTACATTCCTATGAACATGTACGTTCATTTGCGCAAATATCGAGACACGTATTTACAAAAAAAAAAACTAAATACGATGTCAGCCATTAAACATTTAAATTTTTGTTCAAATGATCTATTTTATTTAGTTCTAAAAGTTGTTTAATAATTCATACTGAAATAACATGGAAATACGGTATGCATGACATTTAAAAAAAATCTGTACGTTTAGATGATTAGGTACGTTTGTACGAACTCGGTAACCAAACAGCAGTCCATGGTATGGAGCGCCGAAATTGCAAATCCCCCAGTTAAATCAAGAATACAAAAAAACAGCAACAAAAGTGATGGTGTCAAGTTAGACGTGTCTATGAAATAAAACTCACAAATAAGAACATTTATGTTAAAATTTACTTTCTGATAAATGTACTGCAATTTGTGTACTTTAACCGAGCACTTTTAGTACATATCTATTAATTTAATATAATTATTAATCTATATGTATTATTCTCATCTTCATAGAATTAATTTTTAATCAACAGTTAATTTTATAAAAAAAAATCTCTTCACAAAAGCAAAATTCGACCATCATCAATATATTTTTTTAAGCTAATAACTTTCGCTTTCACGCAGTTCTTTTTTCCTCTGTCTGCGTTCATCCGTATATGCGAACTTTTGGGTGCTTAATATAGAATAACCTTTCTCTTCAAAATGAATGTGTAATTTCAAAGGTGAACGAGAGAAGACAAAAAAAGTTTACTCTCGCTAAGAGCTTACGGGGATGATTTATGCGGCGACTTTTTTTCTCCGCTCCGAAGATTTATCACTACGCTACATTTTCAGAATATGGGATTTCTGATTGGAAAAGAGACAGACAAAAAAAAGTGTACATGTAGACAATACTGTCGGACGTTGAAAAATGGTGCAAATATTTATTAATACTTACTATATTAAGAATAACATTTTTTTCTGTTATTTACATTTTTTATGTTATTAAATTATGTCTTTTGGATAATAAATAAAGATTATTTATTTCTATTTTTTTTGTAAGGTAATGTTATATTTCTGCACTGTTGAGCTTTCCACGCCATCTATTTTATGCGATAGTATAAAAGCTTCCAATCTTATACTTTCCTTCCTTGCTTTTTTCCATCCTCCCCCAAAAACTGCGCCACATCCATTATCACGGCTATATGCATTCCTTTTAGTTTCATTGGCGTTTGCAGTAGAAACAGCAGCATTAAGGGCCATACACATTCCTTTAGCGTTTACGACCCTTGCATCAGGATTGTTTTTTTTTCTAGCAACTAATGTCCTCTTGTTTATTCAATAGCGGAATTTCTTTCGTTCGTAATTTGGATAATTCGTACAATGTTTGAGAATAAATTAGTTTTGCTAAATATTCAATATATATATTAAAATATATTTATCTGAATTAAGTACATTAGGTAAAATTTTATATAATTGCAAGTATAATAACAGTATGGGCAATTTTTGTGTTTATTAAATTTTAACCCTTTTTAGCCACTTTAGTATATTTCATGTTTTTATATTAGAAAATGGCGAAATGAAGTGGTACAAATAAGTACAATTAACGCAATAGAAAACTAAATGGTTTTGTACCAAATATAACCTGATAAAATACAAAATTGTCTTAGTCCTGATATAAAACAGGGTGTTATTATAAATACATATAATTGAAACTACAATAATGTTCAAAAAGTGTACGTTCTTATGAACATCAAGTACGTTTGAGCGAATCAAGGGACATATGTAAAACAAACGAAATGTAAATAATAAATGCATTGAATCGTAATTCTACATTAAAAATTTAATTTATAATAATTATCATTATAAATTCTAATTCGCTCATATAATAAATATTTAATGTATTTTACTTTGCTAATAATAATAATAATTATGAATAATTAATAATAATTTTGAAAATACATTAAAATTGGCTGAATAAGTTACGAATAAAATATATTTAATTTTTCACAACAATAATTACAAAAAAAAATGTACAATTTTTTAATACAACTCAATTTTCTATCCTTAATTAATTAGATATTTGTTTGAATATAAATTATGAATGATTTTTTTTTAATAATCTGAAGAATATTTTATTCAATTCCTTTTTACATAATTTTCTCTGATAGAATTATTAATGAAATAATTTTTGCTATTTCAAATATCTGAAAGTTGATTGGACATAAATTATGAAGAAAATATGAATTAATAACGTGTAAAATTTGTTGCTATTACAATTTTATTATTGTAAAATGAAAACGTGTTTGTTTGTGGTGGATTACTAGATCTTGGGATTAGGTTGAAATGTATAAGAAATGTTGGATGTTTTTGAGATTTGCAGATTAAGTGGAGTAGTAGTAGTTTACCTTGGAAAGCGGCTTCGAACTGGTTCTGAACAATATCCTCGAGTTGAGCGCTCGTGGAGACGACGAGGATGAGGATGATGGCAAGGGATCCCATGGCGTCGTTAGAAGGCCCCATCTCGCACTATAATCCTCCAGGTGGCCTCACAGGCCCAACATTCACACACATACCACCCCCGGGACCGGTAAAACACTTACCACAATACACATCGTATTACACACTAATTGCACTAGTTATTATTCATAGCTTAATCAACTGTTGCATGCTTTTGGACAACGAACAGCAGCGTGTATATGCGAGGGGCTAAAAATTGTTCAGTCTGAAATTGTCAGTTAAAGTTAATTGGAATTGTCCTTTTTATTTACAGGAATTTATAAGAATAAAATAATAATAATAATTGAAATTATGAAGTGAGTTCGCTGGGGGTAATTGACAACGAGGGTTGTGGGACCATCGACGTCCGATCGTCTGCACGTCTTGCTACTTGGTTTTACTCGCTCGGACTGCTTGTGCTGGTTATGCAATGCCTACTCTCTTTCTCTCTCTCGCACACACATACACTCTATCTCACTCTTACTCCCCCCTTCGAATGCTACGCGTTCATCGCAACGCGTGTGCTCTGTAGTAATTGACTATAGCGGCGAAATGCTATATATGGTTCAATACTCTCTCATTTCAACCCCGATCGAAGAACGAACGCAGAGACCTCTGTCTTTGCTGTAGCGAAACGGAGCGTTAGGGTTGGTTCTACGAAACCCCTTTTATGGCGATCATTATAATCGAACAATGTACGCCCTCTGTTGAACGATGATTCCAGTTAATATACCCGACACCTCCGCCCTATTTATTTTTCATTTATTATTAATAACAGTAACATCATTATATTTTTATTATCGTAAAATCCAATTATTTTATTGAAAAATTTAAATATTGTCATTAAAGTTGAATAATCAGGGAATAAAATGAGCCTAATAATATGCATGTGAGATGACTGCCTTTTATGTAATTAGCTTCCAAATTTCAATAAATTATAATCATTACACATAATAATTAATATCTTGATATTTATAGCGATTGTAATCAGAGACAAATATTGATAATCTGAATAATTACAGAACAAAATGAGTTGTTTGTGAATATTATATATTATTATTATTTTACTTTAAAATCCGTGCTTAAAAGTATTATTTTGTATATAATTCTTTCAGAAACTGAACAATCGATATGGCAATTCCAATAGACCAGCAGAGAAACACTCCTTCGATGCGGTTGAAATTCAATTTGATGTAATCCTTCTTCGCCTTCTGATTGGTATTAGAAACAATAAAATATTTATTGTAGGCCTGCACTCTCAGCACCTTCAAAACATCAACTTATATAATAAAAATATATTAATCTTCATTGTAAACCTCACATCATTAATGTAATAATAAATCAATCCTGACTCTCTTAATCTGGATAAATGCTCGTTCAATAACGGCATTAAAGACGAGTGTTTTGTGCCCATGAAGACGCAATAATCGTAGGATAACTCCCCGGGAAGTAACCGGAATTTGCTCAAATAACTCGTCCTTATATTTATCCCAAACTCATCGAACGAGTAACCTAAACCTTTTTCTAAGTTATCTACTATTACTGCAACATCTTCAGCACCTTCCAGATATTCCAACAAAGTTTTATCGTCGATCTCGATGTACCTACTAACAATGCTTTGATACTTTTTCTAAAATCTAAATTAAGTAAATGTAATCGATGATTGAATAATTGATTACTTCGTTCATTACAATGAGGATGTAACCGGTCGTCAATCCAATTACTTTGATTCCGCTTTTCTCAAGGTCAGCGTTGTTTGAGATCACATCAGTATAACTGAAAGTACAAAATAGAAGTTTTTCTTACCATTGAAGTTTTTCTCACATTGGTTTCGCAATGATGCTTGCTAATCTGCAGGAATAAAACACTTCCAAAAAGATACAAAACAATATCACGAATCCAGTGAAGACACGAAGACTGATTTTTACAGGTTGATGCATGTATAAGGAAATTATGTAAAATATTTCGTTGCAAAGCATCTCGCAACGGTTTGCGACTTTTTTACGTAAAATATATCTGCAATTGTCTGATGAAAAAAAGTGATATTTAACTTTAATAAACTCACCTTTCTCGAAATACTTCCATGCCGTATTTTACTATCACCAAAAACACAAACATTAAGATAGTTGCAATCCAAGTATTCCTGTTGTACGACCTAAATGAATCTCTCCATCCGCTCATTAATCTAAATCAAATTACTATTAATAATTATATATAAAAAAATCATCCAAAACTTATTTTAAGTTATTTTCTTATTATTTTATAACACCAAAGTTTTCATCATACCTCGGTTCAGGTACAAGTACACTAACTGCAGAACGAGTTGTGTAATCCGAAAAATCATTGTAGAAATGCCTATTTTCTATGCGATAGTAACCACCTAAAAACAATCATTAAACTATTTAATTTCTGCATTATTTTTTTATATAACCCATGGTAAGATCTGCAGCTCCAATAGCAGTTTTGTACAAAGCTCCAATGCCAACAAAATTTCCATTAACATTTCCCCATTTATCCTCCTCCAAGATCATGTTTGCGGTGAAATTATACTTCTCGCAAAACGTCAAAAATAACGGTAATTCAATACCTTTCTTACTGCTTAGATCCACGTAAGGTGGAGTAGAAAACATCGGCAACTTGATTACTTTACCCATAAAATTCCTTTTCTCGATTCCAAAAGAATCATATTTAATAGATGCGTTTCCGTCACATAAAGTTCCCAAAGAAACGGTTCGATTATCCGTCCCAATATACTCTAATGTAAATAGTTCGAAGCAATCTTCAATTCGCTTGATTTTCATCGCCAAAACTACTTTAGGTATCATTCTCAAAACCTCATCATTCAACTCGGTTGCATTACTTGTTACGAGTAAATATTTACGACGATTGAAGCGTGCGAATTTAACGTATTTCAGTTGAAACTCGACACTTTTCAAAACTTGCATGGGATCTGGCGATGAAATTATGAAACCTTGACAAGCGAAGTTGTCGTAATACTGGATAAAATCGGGTTGGTTGAAAATCACCATTGGTTTATTCTTTATCTCACCGATAATATTTGCATCTCCTTTATTCATGTAGTAAACGCAATTGGAATCTTCGAAGTATTTCATGAGAAGTACGTTGAAGAGCAGTTGCATGTTCACCATTCTTGGAATTCAATTGTTTGCGTTGCGCATCGTTGTAGCTTCATTTATACCCTCGAATGTTCAATTATTCAATGGATTTGCAATTGTTTTATGGCACAGGTTGATTTATATTGTACATTTTTTTGTGTTTCCTTGGTTACAAATCGCAGTACGTCCATTTTGTAAATTGAGTAACGGTCGTTTGACAAATTGAGACATTCTTTTGAAAAATGCTGATTTCCAATTTAGTTAAAAAAGTATTATTAAATTGCTTTTAAATCTATACAAACTTTTCACTTAGACTTATTAACACCTTTACATTTTAATAAATTTCTTAAGATACCGAGCGATTATAGTTTTATGAAAATATTTATCTTAAAGCTGAATAATTAGGGAATAATATGACAATATTAGTTTTTATGTGAAAGTACTGGATTTTTTCTAATTAGCATTATTAATTCAATTGTAACCATTCGCAAACAAACACCTTTAGATTTTAATAAATATCTTGAGATTCAGAGCGATTATAATGTTATAAAAGCATCTGTATTAAAACAGAATAATTAGGGAATAAAATGAGACTATTAATATTTATGTGGGTTTATTAAATTTTATTTTATTAACATTTCAATAAGTAGTTACATTGATGCCATTCGAAAACCAACAACACTTTTACATTTTAATAAATATCTTGAAATCCAAAGCGACCAAACCATATAAAAGTATCGATATTAAAGATGAATAATCAGGAAATAAAAGGAAATTATTAGCATTTGTGTGTAATCACTGAATTTTATCTGATTAGCTTTTAAAATTCAAATAATTAAATTGTGACTATTCTAGAAAAATACCTTTACATTATAATAAATATCTTGAGATCAAGAACACCTATAGATTTTGATTAATTAGCTTTCAACTGCAAGAAAAACATCATCTTTAAATAACTAATAAAGTCTATTATAAAAACAGTGAATTATATTAATATTGAATAAACTCTATATAATAATAATTTGCTTAATAATATTAATTGTAAGTGTATAATTCTCTCAAAAACTGTACAATAGATATGGCAATTCCAATAGCCCAGCAAAGAAACACTCCTTCGATACTGTTGAAATTCAACTTGATGTAGTCCTTCTTTTCCTTTCGATTGGCATTAGAAACAATAAAATATTTATTGTAGGCCTGCACTCTCAGCGCCTTCAAAATATCAATATTTATGATAAGAAAGAAATGTTAATCTTCATTGTATAACTCACATCATACATGTAATAGTAAATCAATCCTGACTCTCTTAATCTGGATAAATGTTCGTTCAATAGTGGCATTAAAGACGAGTGTTTTGTGCCCATGAAGACGCAATAATCGTAGGATAACTCTCCGGGAAGTAACCGGAATTTGCTCAAATCACTCGTCCTTATATTTATCCCAAACTCATCGAACGAATAACCTAAATAATAAATATAGTCGAAGATCGTGAAAACTTCAGAATTCGCACCTTTTTCTAAATTATCCACTGCTATTGCAACATCTTCAGTACCTTCCAAATATTCCATTAAAGTTTTATCATCGATCTCGATGAACCTTTTAACAATGCTTTGATATTTTTTCTAAAATCGAAATAAAGTATATCTAATCGATGATTAAATAATTGATTACTTCGTTCAATATAATGGCAATGTAACCAGTCGTCAATCCAATTACTTTGATTTCGCTTTTCTCAAGGTCAGCGTTGCTTGAGATCACATCTGTGTAACTGAAGAAAGAAATAGTTTTGATAACAATTTTATCAGTTATTATTAATCTCACGTTGGTTTTGCGATGATGCTGGCTAATCTGCAGGAATAAAACACTTCCAAGAAGATGCAAAACAATATCACGAATCCGGTGAAGATGCGAAGGCTGATTTGTACAGACTGATGCAGGTATAAGGAGATTATATAAAATATCTCGTTGCAAAGCATCTCCCAACGGTTTGTGACGTTTTTGCGTAAAATATATCTGCAATTTTCTGTTTAAAAACAGTAATATTTACAGTTCAATAAATTTACCTTCTTCGAAATATCTCCATCCCGTATTTGACTATCACCAAAAACACGAACATTAAGATGGTTGCAATCCAAGTATTCAATGTGTATGACCTGAATGAATCTTTCCATCCACTCATCAATCTAAATCAAATTACCATTAACAATTACATAAAAAACTAACTTTGCATCAAAATGTTTGAACAATTTGTGCAAGTTACTTGGTTCCATAAAAACACATTTATATAATTTACTTTACTTTAAAGATTATTAATAATTATATGTTAACTTTAAGTATTAAGATTACCTGGGTTCTGGTACAAGTACACTAACTGCAGAACGAGTTGTGTAATCAGAAAAATCATTGTAGAAATGCCTCTTTTCCATGCGATAATAACCACCTAAAAACCATACAAAAACAATCATTAAACTATTTAATTTCTGCATTTTTTTTATACACCCATAGTAAGATCTGTAGCTCCAATAGCAGTTTTGTACAAAGCTCCGACACCAACAAAATTTCCATGAACACTTCCCCATTTATCCTCCTCCAAGATCATGTTCGCAGTGAAATTATACTTCTCGCAAAACGTCAAAAATAACGGTAATTCAATACCTTTCTTACTGCTTAGATCCACGTAAGGTGGAGTAGAAAACATCGGCAACTTGAGTACTTTACCCATAAAATTCCTTTTCTCGATTCCAAAAGAATCATATTTAATAGATTCGTTTCCGTCACATAAAGTTCCCAAAGAAACGGTTCGATTATCCGTCCCAATATACTCTAAAGTAAATAGCTCATAGCAATCTTCAATTCGCTTCATTTTCATGGCCAAAACTACTTTAGGTATCATCCTCAAAACCTCATCATTCAACTCGGTTTCGTTACTTGTTACGAGTAAATATTTACGACGATTGAAGCGAGCGAATTTAACGTATTTCAGTTGAAACTCGACACTTTTCAAAACTTGTATGGGATCCGGCGATGAAATTATGAAACCTTGACAAGCGAAGTTTTCATAAAACTCCATACAGTCGAATTGGTTGAAAATCACCATTGGTTTATTCTTTATCTCACCGATAATATTTTCATCTCCTTTATTCATGTAGTAAACGCAATTGGAATCTTCGAAGTATTTCATGAGAAGTACGTTGAAGAACAGTTGCATGTTCACCATTCTTCGAATTCAATTGTTTGCGTTTCGCATCGTTGTAGCATCATTTATACACTCGATTGTTCAATTATTCAATGGATTTGCAATTGTTTTATGGCAAAGGTTGTGGTGATTTATATCGTACATTTTTTTGTGTGTTCCTTGATGACAAATCACAGTATGTTCATTTTATAAACTGCATTGTTTGACAAATTGAGGCATTCTTTTGAAAAATGCTGATTTTATACTTAGTTAAAAAAATGTTAAATTGCTTTTAAATCTATATAAACTTTTCACTTTGACATATTGTTGAAATTGTTTTATTTCAACACTAATTGTGGAAAAAGGAAACATAAGAAAATTAATTAACTTAAATGTACACTGATTTTTTAATATGTTAATATAATATTTTTTACAAGTAATATTGTACAAATATTATTTACAAAAATTTTATTAATTATTACATATATTTTATTTGTGTCAGTTTTATGTTTATGTAATAATTTGGATCATAATAATTATTAATCGAATATACATAAACCATTTTTTAAAGAGATTTTATATCAATTTATTATTGACATAGATCTTTTTGACCCCCACAAATTTTGTTGTTTTTTACTAATCGAACCAACAAACTTTTGTATTAGATTTTCGTGACACATGCGACTATAGATAGACATAAACCATTAATTGGGTCCATTTTAATTAATAGAAGTATATGCAACTCCTTTAACAATCTGCCAAAATGTTTTATTATCATATACAAAATATATGCAAGTATTATATTTCAAATTAAATGTTGCATATAGTTGAATACTATTTTAATTACTATTATATTATTATTATTATTTATTTATTTAGCATATTTTCGTAGGTCCTTGCTTTTGTAACTTAAGTTGCCTATGCATCTTTAATATTTTATTAGTTTTATTAGAAAATAACGATTATTACATAAATATTTAACGATTATTATATCAATATTGATAGCTACTCATTTCTTTGACATTTGTAAGAGATTTTATGTATATTTTTGTAATTACTTAGTTGCTTTAATAAATGCTAATAATAATGTTCTTTAATTTAGATTGAAACTAATTAATTTATGAAAATAATATAAAAACTTTGATTACAAATTAATATTATTAAAATAAGTATTAATTCGAAAATGTGATTTAAAAAAAGACACGTTTATACAAACATTTTATATTTACAAAACAAAATATAAAATACATTAAATAAGGTACTTAACTATGAGGGAAAAGGAATTAATATTGTTATAGAATAATATTGATAGCGAGAAACAAAAAAAAAATAAACAAAACAATAATGAAAAAAAAACGAAAGTATTTCTATATAGCCTTAAAGTAATATTTAACGTTCTGTTATGTATATAAAAAAAAAATAAGAGTTAAATTAAATTAATCATTTCTGTACATTCTACATACTGTTAAACGGTAATTTCAAGAGACGGAGGTAAATTTGATGTAACGTGTTTTTATGGGGGGATAAATTAAAGGTACGATGAAGGGTAACGTCGTGATCAAATGAAAAATTTTGAACTGGTGTCTCTACGAGGACGAATTCACTTTGTTCATGATGTTCTCGATGAACTCGTTGATCGGAGCAAAGACTGTGATCACGACAAGAGCGATCACCACCAGAAGTATCACAATTATGTAGATAGCTAGCAGGAATTTGCGGACTCCGGAGAACTGAAATCAAAAGTTTAGTTTGAATCTGTGTGTATATTATGTAATAATTTTGAGTTTTACCGGAGCATCGGCGCTGTGTTCCGTGTACACCGAACTTCTTCCTGATCCGCTCATGTCTCTCATTGGGAAAGCGTTGATCCTTCTTTCTGCAGATTTCTCAGAGGCGCAGCCCATTATCTACATAAAAAAAGTCATCAGTTAATTTAATTTACTCAATGAAAAATACAATAAACTGTATTTAATGAATATTACATATTTTTCTAGAATGTACAGAAATAATTACCGATTCGTGTTTGTATGTAATACGTTGCAGTTATTTCAATGCCAACTTACGTAATTAAATCTTACATAAAGCGTTAATTATTCGAGTCGCTTCAATCGCGTGTTTTCATGAGTCATCGCGATTTCAGCAATTTATTTGTAGCAAGAATCAATTGAAAACTCACCGAGAGAAGCAAATGCATGACAACATGGAATGCTACGAAACCGACGAGGATCCAATCCATCCATTCGGGCAATTCCGCTTTGTTCAACTTAACGGCAAAGAAGATGGTAACGACTGAAATTAATATGTTGTTAATAAGAGTGTAATTGGATGGAAAATGCGGTTGGTTTTACTGGCTAAGATGTGAGCAACGTTTCCTCCGAACCAATGGACCCAGTTGAAGATGGGTCTTCTTGGAGTGCCTGGATGAGGACGGAAGTATGCTCCGATTGGTTGAATGAAGCAGAGTATTGTGGTGATCAATCCAAGAATTGCGTGAGGATTGCGCTCAGTTGTCCAGGCTTTTAACTCTACGAAGATGAGAACGAAACCGGCCGTTGTCAACGCCCAAGTGAGAACCATGAATAGTCTGTGCCACTGGAGAAAGAGAATTGGATTTAATTTTGGATTGGGTTTAAATTAGGGGATACTTACAGCGAACCAAAGGTCCTTGCCGAAGAGGCTTCCTCCAACCCAGGTCTGTCTGAAGTATCTGGCCAGAAGCATTCCGATGGACGCGGTACCAATCCAAGCAGTTAACATGAAAGCTCCGTGCAACCTGAGGAGCAGTTTCGAAGCAGCTTTGATCGCAGAAACATCTGAGAGGATTTTCTTTTCTCCACTAGCTAGGTACGCAACGTCATGGAAGGCTACTTTGTTACCTATTATTAAGTTAAAAGCATTAAGATGAGTCGTTTCAAACAAATTGTCGTTGAGAGAAACTCACTGTGGACGGTATTGCCTGCAGCAACTAAGATGTAATACATGTCTTTAGCCAAGTCGTATACTTTATTGTTGACTGTAGTTTTGGCTTCCCTGAGGACGCGGCAGTAGATGGTTCCATCCACCAGAGAGCTTTCAAGTAGTTGGATTCCCTCTTGCTGTATTTAACAACAATAAAATATTTGAATTCTAGTATTTCAATAGACAAATAATATTTCAATAAACTATATTCAACCTTTGAGTACTAGCTTTATAAATGATGTATGCTTTACCACACCATTCTTTGTTAGATCCAGAATTAATTTAAACCTTTTCGGACGAGCGACGGTTATAGCTGCCCTATTATTATGTAGAATTGTATACAAGTTCACTGCGGTAGCGCACACACCGAATCTATAGTCTATAGCAATTTCGCATAAAATAGTTTATAATGCGACCTTGAAATATATCCGTCTGCAAGATTAATTTAAAGATGTACGTACCCTCCTGTTCCTTTCCACGTTCAAGTTTGGTCTGGGTGTGGTTTGTGAGATGTAAGCTTTGACTTTCTCGTTCTCGTTGACGCACTCGATGACAGAATCATCGCCCATCTGGGTGTCTTCGGAGAGGCCAGTACCTATCCAACTGGCTGCTCCCTTCATCTCAAATTCATGTCTATCTCCATAAACGGTGATGGCAACTACCGCTTTGCAGTTCTTGCTTGCAACGCAACCAACTGGAGATCCGAAGCAGCTCTTCTTTACGTCGCATCCGGTGTAGAATGGATCGAATTCGGTGGAGGACTCCTGCTTCAACTCCGGAGAAAAGTTTGGTGGCGTAGTAATAGGTCTGCTGGTCGGGGTGAACGTCTGTTGTCCATCATCTGAAGACCTTTTGCTTACCAGCACCTCAGGAGATTGCAGACCCACCCAGAAGGTGTCGTAAGATTGAGCCACAGTCGCACTGTACCACGAATGTAAAATTTAGTCAACTTGTAGCGATTAAAGCAATAAAATACTTACTTGAAGATTACCGGTCCTTCATATCCTTGTGGATTCCATTGCACTTCAACGCCGTTCTTCTGGTTCGTGTTGGAATGCGTCAAGGTATCTCCAGCTTGTCGACAGTCGATGGTGTGAACCTCGCTGGTGCTAGGTTCAAATTGCCCAACCAGTTGGTTCCTGGAATCGCGCGCTTGTAGCATGAACCCTTGGAATGGCAGATTTATGGGCGATTTGATGGAGATCATGTAAGCATCGCCGTTTCTTCTTGCGGACACCCCATGTTGCGGAGGACTGAGCTGTCTCTTGATACCTCCTCCATGGAATGGAACGATGGTCTGACAGGCTGTAACGGGCGCTCCACTAGGTAGACCATCGCTTGTTGCAACCACATACAACACCACCAACAGCACCACTTTCATCTGAAACCAACGGAAAAAATAAGTTAGAATTGATTTGAAATACAATTATCACTATATAGATAAAAACATATTAAACTGAAAATGCTTTAAAATCCATTCATCTAAGAAATAACAACAAGCAAATGAAAGTATTTCATTTTAGAATGTAAAACAATCACTCCAACAAAATTGTTTTTCAAATATTTGCTTTGAAAGTGAAGAAAATTTAAAACAAAATCAACGTTGGAATTCCCAGTGAGTTGCTCAAACTTATGAACTTGAACTGTTTCTCGATGAAACGATATTCGCGTGAATTATATCTATCTCGGAGAAGTGAAAAAAAGTATTAATAATAATTGCTCTTTCTTTTCGAGCAAAATATTTAAAATTGACCTTCGAGGTTAGCATTCTGCGTGAGTCATATCGTTCCAAGGGAATTTGGACCTCCTATATTAATATATTTAATACCAGCATACAGCCTGCATACTAAACAGAACGAGTCATTTAGTTATTTGTGTATGAGTTTTCCATTTTTGTTTTGTTGTAACAATAACTATAATGATGATCTTTGTTGTCTCTTCATTCGACAATTTGTTGTACTCGCCTCGTACATTAACATCTACATCCGCCCATAACAGGTGCAGATAATACAACAACAAAAAAAGGAAACATGCAGCAACAACTGTTATGCAAATTTGCATTTACATTATAAACACGAAAACAATACACTTCGCATAATTATTTTTACATACTGAATCATCCTGAAACCAATTTGCAAGAATCATATTTTCTTCAATCAAATTTAACTTTTGTTAAGTTTCAACAAGCAATTGTAGTAAACAGATAGTTTTTTCGCAAGATCTATTCTACCGCAGAAAGGCGATAAATGTCTGCGGTTTCACCAAAACACACACACAAACAAAAAACAGATTATTTTTGTTTGTAAATAATGTATTCTTTTTGTTAAATTGTCTGATAAATATGTGAAAGCATAAAAAGAATAGTGTGTCGACCTTAGAAAAGTTTGGAAACATCGTAGGCGATAATTGACGTTTGCAACTGTCCCGAATTGCAAAAGCTTCTTGATTCTTGCGGCTTCCTTTCGTCAACTGTTATGTCACGAGTAGTACTTTTTAAAAGCGAAGGTCCCGAAATTAACGAGAGAAAACTGTGAAACGCCTTTATTAGCAGTAGTTTCGCATTGTTTTCATAAAGAAGTGAATGGATTAATTTAATTTTTTTGAACTATTGTTCAATTGAATAATATATTTCGAGGAAATTATTTTCTGAGTATTATAACTTTATTGGTTACTTAGTCTATAAATTAGTTAGCTAAAATTCATATAATAATTAGTTTTACTAGGTAGTTTATGTAGATAATTTTGCTTCTTATATAATAGTAAAATTATATATTATATTGTTTCAACTTTATCAGCAAATTACTAAAAGTACTGAAATTATACTTGTATACATGAGAAAACAAACAAAATATATTTCTTTGTAAGTTTCATTTTTGACATGAAATTTTCATATAAAACTATAAAACTAAATGTAGTCATTTTACACTATGTAGTATTTATTAGCTTTAATTTGTGTATTTTATAGTAATTATAGCAATTACTACAATTATGAGAAACTATAAAGACATGTTTATTTTACTTTGGACATTTATTAAATATAACAAATTTTGATTTTCTTTTTGGAAAAAATAAATATTAATAAACAATTTATGCATAAAAATTTGATTTTATTCTGAAATTTTATTTAAATTTTGAGAATGAGAAATGACATCAAAATCTTAATTCACACTAAATCAGTGTTTCTCGAAAGGCAACACGATTGAATAATATAACACGGTACTTCTATTACACGGCTTCTTTAAAGTTTACTTTTTCACAATTCTTGACAATATTACTTTTAATCCGTTGAGCAAAATCTTATACAGTTAAGAACATTTCGAAAAATAAAAATTTGGAATATTTTATGAATATTGCGAAAGTTTCAATTCTACTAAATCAGAGTTTCTCATCCAATTTCAGTTTTTTTGAAAAAGATGGCAAAGACTAAATATCTACTCTTTATGTCCAGCATGAATTATTCCAAAAAGTAAAATAAAATCGTATAATTAAGTCCAGTTTACTGTTCACGATTTGTCGTTCCACGAAAGAAATTAGCACACGCTCATAAAGATTTTGTGGTATATCCACTATTTGTATTCACTTATTTCCATGGTAGTGAGTCAATGACCCAGATGCGAGAGTCCCACATTGCGGTCAGCCTTTCGTTCCGACCATTCTCAACGGAGATGGGTGGAAAAAACAGTGGGACTGAGCGAATGAATCCTAATTAACTACACATATATTCATTATCAGATGATGATGCAACTCGGAATATCCGTGGATTGCATTTTGTTGACACCCTTTTCATCTGTGTCTAAACTATGTTTGTAATTATCGATATTTCTGGGACTGGGCAATTAGATGTCGGCGATGAAATTGACGAAAGTGTAACGATTCGTCGATCGCAATTGAACTGCGATGACCCGCTTCGCTTCTGGACCTTAAATTATTCATGGAACGACAAGCCCGTTTTTCCAAATTACCTTTCATCTATTTTTACATGAATTGTTGTAGACGGGACGACAGGTGACATCTATTATTCAAGTATGTCACGTCTATTAATTCAATATTTATAGCAGTTCCAAAGAAAACCAATCAATTGTATACTTTTGTTTGGTTTTTTACCAAATTTACGTAAAGCCAACCTTTACTTCGTAATTTATCAGAGTAATTATCGCAATAAAGTTAACATTTATTCCAAAGATATTCAGTTTTTATATCTGTAATAATATTTCTTAATTTGTTCTTTGCTTAATTGTACTTTTCGAGTGCTTAAATGATTATAAAATCAATTTTACAACCGTTTCAATCAATTTTTATAAATACCTCGATCTGTGCGGATTCATTATATACCGGTTGGAAAATTTCAAAATAAACTATTTTTCTCCTAGTCTTTGATTAGTCCGGTTACAAATAGTGTTGGAACCAATTATCCGCACTATGCGAATATTAGTACACTTCATTGATTTCTACATAATTCAACTTTCATATTCATATTAATTTTACATTAATTACTTATTAATTATTAAATATTTTCCACTAAGAAGTAAACCTTTCACTTTTAGAACATTTAAATTATCATTAACTCAAAACATACAAAAATTAAGCAATATTCATTTAAAAAAAAACTAATCCGGAAAATTCTTAATGAAATGAGGAAAAAAAAAACAAATTTATTATTTTCCAAAACTGTAGATCTTAATCAAATTTATCTTTATACCTTTGTTCTAAATCTTATACATTAACATCATGCATTATATAAAATAACCCACAGTTAAATATAAATGTATGTAGGTTATCGATTTAGAAAATATACATAAAGAAAGCATAAAGAACGTAAATTAATCATTGATTAAGGATCTATTCAAATTACTCGTATTTCCTTCACTCGCGATGGAGAAAATTAAAGGTTTGATCTTAAAGAAAATTCTGTTCGAGCGTAATTTTCTTCGCGTTATATAAACACGCGTTCACCTGATCAATGCCCCAGAGACATTGCAGATCGTCTGGTAATAACTGCATTTAAAAGGCGCGTGTAGAGGTGCCCAGGATAATAGACGATTACCGTTCGACCTGCAAAACCGTAACGCAATTAATGCCGATGCACTCTTCACCATTTTGATTCTTTTCCATAACGAGGAAGTCGTAGAATTCTTCAGTAGATTATTTCGTAAAATGGAATTACATAAATACATATCTCGTTTTGCATGAACAAACCTAAATCCACAGCTTAGCGGAATAGATGAATTGTAAAAAGTGATCTATTTTTAATCAATGTTTATTTTTATATAACTGAAAAACATTCATGCTTTAAATAAATTTGCTTATTTTCATTCAATTCTCTTAGAATTGTTGTTGATTTAATCTCAGTTTTAGTTTAAAAATTATAAAAATTATCCAGTTATTAATTTTATTTTTGACGTTCCATGTGTCAATGTTCACATCATCATCATTTTAACAATTTTCACATCAATAATTATGATTTCATTCATTTATAATTGAATCCATCATTGACTGAGAAATTTGTTTCTGTATAAATAAATTTAGTGGTTAAAAAATAGATCAAGTTGTCATCCACTTATTGACTTTATTTTTAACATTTCATCTGTCAATTTTTCCTCACTTTTATAATAATAATATTAATTATTTTTGTCAATTAATAATACAAATCAACAACATTGATTATAATAATAAATTAAACAATTATGATTTTATTAATTTATAATTGAAACCATCATTGACTGAGAAATGAAATTTGTTTCTCCATTCAAAATCCAATAAATTTAGTGATTAAAAAATAGATAAGTTTACTCACTTTTTTTTGACGTTTCATGTGTCAATTTTCACTTCTTTTTTTCAATTAATAATGCAAATCAAAAATATTGATTATAATTATAAATTAAACAATTATGATTTAATTCAAGTATAATTGAATCCATCATTGACTGAGAAATCAAAATTTGTTTCTCTATTCAAAATCCAATAAATTTAATGGTTAAAAACTCAAGTTGTCATCCATTTATTAATTTTATTTTTGACGTCTCATCTGTCAATTTTTGCTCTTTTTTTTCAAATAATACTAATTATTTTTAACGTTTCATGTGTCAATTTTCATTGCATTTTTGTTTTCAACTATACAAATACAAATTATACAAATTAATATTGATTAGAATTATAAATTAAACAATTATTATTTCATTCTTTTATAATTGAATCAATTTGAGAAATAAAAAAAAATTCCATACAAAATCCAATACATTTAATGGTTAAAAAAATAGATCCAATTATTTACTTTATTTTTGACGTTTCATGTGTCAATTTTCTTTTTTTTTTTCATTTAATTATACATATCAACATTGATTATAATTATAAATTAAACAATTATGATTTCATTCATTTACAATCCATCAATGACCGAGAAATAAACTTTGTCTTTTCATACAAAATCCAATAAATTTAATGGATAAAAAACAGATCAAATTGTCATCCAGTTATTATCATTATATTTTGACGTTTCATCTCTCTATGCTAAATTTTTAATACAAATCATACTTTTGATTACAAATATGAATTAGACAATTATGATTTCATTCATTTTCAATAGAATCCATGAATGTCTGAGTAATAAACTTTTGTTTTTCCATACAAAATACAATACAAATAATGCTTAAAAAATATATCAATTTGTCATCCAGTTATTAACTTTATTTTTTTGACGTCTCATCTGTCAATTTTATCAAGATATTTTTTACTTTAAATTAATAATACAAATTATTATCAATTAGAAAATCATGATTCCATTAATTTCCAATTACCATTTTGTTAATAAACAATAATATTCACCCAATACATATATAATTCAATTAATAATATAATTTTTTGACATTTCATCTGTCAATTATCGAAACAACAAAATTCACCGAAACTTTTATATGCAATAAATATTAAAAAGTTATATTTCCATTAATTTTCAATTGAATCCAATGATGTTATTGTGTAATAAAATAAATATCCAAGAGATATGTTCATCTTGTATTACTTTGAATTACCAACAAAACTGGCCTACTCCACTCTCCCACGACACAAACACATAATTTACTTTTATCTCTGAAACGACGTGGCTCAACAAACAAATATCATTAAAACCAAGGTTTTTTTATGTTGTTTTACTTATTCACCGATAAACAAACCAACTAATGAATTTAAAACCTCTTAGTTCGTTAAAAAAAACATTATACAGTTACAAAGTCGCGCATTTTATTTATTTTATTTTCTTTCACTCGTTTCAAGCGTAAAACAATTTGCGCGAGAATAATTTTCAATTTCATTGAAAACAAAGCAATTAATACTTGACTGAGCATTTCACTCGCTAAAGAATAAAACCATATCCAATTTTAAAGGAAAAAAATCATATAGAAAGTTATCAAATTATAAAAAAAGATTTGTTAAAAATGGCTAGTTACTTGCATTTTGTTAATTAGTGAATTTAGTCGAAAAAAAATATTTATTTAATAATTAGAAATCAAAGAATGTTTGCATGATTATATTTATTTAAAATTTGTTTAAAGCGAAGAGAAGATTAATATTCAATCGATTCACTGTATTTTCCTATATTATGTTCGTCATATTTTGCTTATCTCAAGTTATCAAACATAAAGGAAATTACGAGAAACGCTACAATCTGACTGAATAAATATCACAATTTCTTGTAAATTGAAGTCAGTATAAAAAAACGAGTGATATGACAGGTGAGAAAATCCATAGCGTGAAAGAGAAAGTTTTTAAAATCTGCTGGATTTTCCATTTACTTTTTACAGAAATTACTGCCTCTCTAATAAATAAATAAAAATTAATGATTAACAAAAAATAAATAAACAAGTCATAACTATATGACAACTTCACTTTTTGACGTTTCAACTGTCAATTTCCTTAATGTAGAATTTCTATAAGTAACTGAACAAAACATTTTCTGACACTTCTGTCAAATTTGTTTATAAATAAAGTAGATAACTTCACATTTTAATAGATCCGTCAATTAAAGAAATAATGTCTATACTGAAATTAACAAATTATTTGTTAAGTCAAAACGACATTTAACAAAGGAATAAAGTTATAATTCACTTTAATTAATTAGGAAATTGACAAATGTGTCAAAAAGTAAGGTTAAGATACTGTTTGACACATCTGTCAATTTCATAATTAAATATAGCCTTTAACCTCGATTTATAACAAATCTTATAACCGTATTAAACTAAATAATTTACATTTTCCAACAAATGATTCATAACATTCACATTCTTGTAATTATAGTAAACTAGTAATCTAAATGCCAAGTCCAAATTGCGGTACTGAAAAATTCACTAACAATCCATAATTAATAAGACTTGAGTCACATTTCCTTGTGATTACCGCACAATTTTCTCGTCTCAAGACACGAAGAAGCATACATCTTTTTTTTATTTTCGTTGTTTACTTCGTGTCTCGCAAATCACTTGATCAATCGTGATGGCAACAAGATCAAAAGATGTTTACGCAACGTGTTGCTAAGTAAACTGTAATTGTATGAATTGTACTAAAAATACGTTACAAATCGACGTGTTTTTGTCGTAGGTTTCTACGCAATATGAAATACAAAAAATAATACGTGATTCTGGTACAGTGCCTAAGGATGTACGGCCAATTAAAGCTGCTTTTGTACTTTCCAACAGTTAACGAGCCTCGGGACGTGCAAGGTGAACGAAATGGAGATCTCTTCTTTCGATAAACCAACAGTTTTTAACATCGAGAAAATCGATATCCTAAAGTTATTGAAAATGATTCGCATAGTGCGGTTAATTAGTTCTCGCACTGTTTGAAACCGGACTAATCGTGGAGATTATAATAAATAATACAAAAATGGACTTGAACCAAATAAAATTTAGATTGTTTTAAAATTTACTAACGCACTATTCGAAATCACACTATATCTGAAGTGATTGATAACATTGTTGCATCTTGGTGAAAACAAAACACAAATGCGAACGTAATCGTAAAATCACATGCGTATATTATTTAATGAACGAATGACCTTGAATTATACAAATTACACGAAAATAGTAACTTTCTGTTCAATTTTCCTTAACGTCTGTCTACGAATGTGATTTGCAAATTGTGAAAGTACAGTTATTACAGGTTTAATGCTCATTGAATCGAGCCCCAAAAAAAAAAACGAATATGAAATCAAAGGAAGTCATAAACGAACGTGCAAAAATGTTTTTAACAAACGTACAATTTTAATTGTAAATAAGCTGGAAAAAAAGATTGTTAAGTCGCTAGAAATACGCGTATGTTTAGAAATAATAAATAAAAAAATAAATATATAATTTTAAATAAATCTGAAAAAATATTTTTAAGGTGTGAAAAATTCCATTTTCAAAATCGAACATTTCGCACAAAAAACAGAATTTAAAATATGAATGAATCCATTACGTTTTTCTTGTTTTATTTGAATGAATAAACTTTATCAGACTTCGCCATTTCCTGGACATGATTCACATTTTTTTTTATATAAAACTTTACCAAAACAAAAATGCTTTAATTGAAGAAAATATTGAAATATTAATAAAGAAGTTTCTTTTAATTTTAATTAATTTTCTTGCACAATTGATATTTTCAGCTGGAAAATTAATTTTCATACATTTCCACAGATTATTGAAAATTTTTTGAGAACAAATAATTGAATAATTTATAATAAAATGAAATGTTTTAAATAGATTTGTAGCAATTTTATTTTAATTTTCATATGTTTCCATGGACAATTTAATTACTGTGAGAATTCTGATAAAACTTTTATATTGAAATGTTTTGTAGCGATTTCATGGTAATTACGTTAATTAATCTTTACTAATTAAAGTTGTTTTATAAGTGTTTTCTAAATAGTAATAAAGAAAAAGTGAAATTGAAGAAAGTAAACTCCTTATTTATATAAAAAAAAAATAACTTGATTGCAATTTAATGGAACATAGGGGGTTTTGCTTATGATGGAAACTTGGATTCTTATGGTATTATTCGATTGCATAAAGGATGGAAAGGAATTATTGCATTCTGTGCGTAAAGCTACGTAACAATCCTCTGCATTCCATGCACGTCGAGTGGTATAGTACGCCTTCGAGGAGAGAAAGCTGCGCGCTCACGTAGTGTATTCATCAACAGCTATTTATTTTATTTACCAAAGACTCACAACGAAAAAAAAAATCTTCATTTTTGTTTACCAATTCTTACCTTGGACATAAAACGCACTTTCGAACGATGTAAAAAAACACACTTTAATCCAAATGTAACAGAAAAAAAGAAACACCCAGGAACTTAGTTTTAGTTAAACTCTTTCACTCGAAACTACTAGCATGATTTATTTCTTCGTGCGATTGTTGCTGCTGAAGACGCGAACGACTGGCAACAAGTGAATACTTTTGAGGTGCAGGTCGTGAGGTCCGCGATCCTCGAGTGAACGCCAACCGACGCGGAATCCACTCCCATTCCCAGACAGCAAGGCCAACAGGTGATGACGTCAGCTCCTCCGTGTCATAGGAGGACCATCGACTACTTCCTAAGAGCGGTTGGCCCTCTGGAAATCCAGTACTTCCGATTTCATTTTTGGAAGAAAAAAAAACCTGATTGATATCATTTTTGTTCACTATTACAAAAGTATTGATTGACCTCAAGTATTCGATACAACAAAATGATCTCTGTTTTTCACTTTCAATTTTATTGTTTACTCTAATTTTTATTATTTGGAGTGCAAAATCGCAAAATTTGGCTGAAAAAGAAATGGCTGAAGTACATTTCGTTTTGAAAAAAAACCGTAATTGATATGATTTTTTGTTCTTTATTTCAAAAGTATTGATTGACCTCAGATCGATACAACAAACTGACCTCTATTTTCCACTTTCAATTTTATTGTATACTATATATATTTTGTAGTGCAAAATCGCTAAATTCGGCCGTGCAGAGAAATGACTAAAGTGTTGCCACAACAATTGGAAGTACATTCGGTTACTTAGTAACAACAAATAGAAAACCAAGGACTGCTTATGGTAATTATAGTTAATTCTGTAAGGAACACAATGAGTGTACTGACTTAATTGAGATTCCAAAGATTTCCTTTCTATTTCAAAATAAACAATTTCTTTGTTTTTCTGCAATTGTTTTATCGAAATTTAAGACTTCAATGACGATGTTTAATATAAATATTAAGTATGGAAATGAAAACCGAGGTTATAAACAAAAATATCAGTACATATTTTTTTGATACATAAAAATAAATTAAATTAGCATATCAAAATATTGTGTTTTTTTTTTGTGCAAAAACCGAAAAAAAATAATTTTAACAATTAATAACACAAAATGAAGAAAAATGTATAATATTAATAAGTTTCTGGTGATATTTGAGGTATTGCTACAATAAAATCTAAAGTTAAATTTATTAAATCAATGAAGCAACTTTTCATTTTATTGTATTTCTCGAAAACTGTTACCAACACATACACTTATTAATAATCAAACAAAAGGAAAATGAATAGATTTTAAAACATATATTACATTTGTGATATTTGTGGTGTTTCTCTACTAAGCTGTCCAATTTAAGAAAAACATTTTGTCGAACTTATCTTAGAGCAATTATATAGATTAGTAAATGAATTAAAGATAAATGGATTGGCTGTAAATAGTACATAATCAATTTAAAGAAAAATGTATAGGCTTTAAAACGTATATAGAATTATATTTGTGATATTTGTGGTGTTTCTATACTAAGCTTTCAAAGTTGAAAAAAAAAACAAACTTTAGTAAATATGAAAACAGCAATGTCCAAACTTTATTAAACATGAAAACAGTGTCCTTGCTTTTTATCGTATTTCTCAAAACCCACAAACAGTACATATAAAATTCTATATTGAAATTAAAGCAAAATGTATAGGCTTTAAAACGTATATAGAATTATATTTGTGACATTTGTGGTTTTTCTGTACTAAGCTGTCAAAATTAAAAAAAACATATTTTATTAAACATAGATCGAGAGTATTCTTGCATTTTATCGTATTTCTCAAAACTCACAAACAGTACATACAAAATTCTATAACCAAATTAAAGAAAAATGTATAGGCTTTAAAACGTATATAGAATTATATTTGTGACATTTGTGCTGTTTCTGTACTAAGCTGTCAAAGTTGATAAAGAAAAACAAACTTTATTAAACATGAAAGCAGCAGTGTCCTTGCATTTCATCGTATTTATCAAGTATTAACCAAAAGAGTACATAAAAAATTATATAATCAAATTAAAGAAAAATGTATAGGCTTTAAAACGTATATAGAATTATATTTGTGACATTTGTGGTGTTTCTGTACAAAGCTTTCAAAGTTGATAAAGAAAAAACAAACTTTATTAAACATTATCTTATTTCTCAAAACCCACAAACAGTACATACAAAAGTCTATAATCAAATTAAAGAAAAATGTATCGACATTGAAACCTATATTTTGAACATAAAAACAGCAGTTAAATTCTCCTATACTTCTAGCAACACATACATTATTTAACAAATAAGTTATGGATAAATCTTTAGGCTTTAAAACCTGTATAAACTTTTATTAGTAATATTCCGAGCTTTTCTTAAAAACTTAAAAAGCAAAAGTATTTATATTAATTAATAATTAAAAATAATTAATGATAGATTGCTTTAAAAAAATAATTAAAAAAAAAAAATAATCAAATATGTATAGGTTTTAAAACAATAATAGAATAAATATTTATCTACAAATTAATCTCTGCTTCTATATCAAATATTTAAATTTAAATTAAGACTCTAAAAAATATATATTAGAGCAGTATTTTAGCTATTCATCATTGAAATCAACAGAGTTCCATGAACTATTTAATAAGAATAATCCGAATGTCCTCAATGCAGCAGCAAATTCGTAAAATCAGATTGCTTTATTGGAGGTCCTTAGGAAAAAGTATCCGAGGTTAACAGAATCAAGGTTTTCGAAATGGTTACAGCCAGAAGAACCTTTGCGGTATTTTAAAGACATCCTTGAACGCGTTATTCAATCCACCGTTTTGTTCGTCGTACACAAAATTATGAATTGGATGCACGTCGCTATTTATTTGCTTTCGGTATTCAAGAACGATGCACCCACCCACAGGTATGTATTCTCAACCAATGATATTTCACAAGCTCGTTGAAATATTTCAATGTCGATCTGAGAAAGCGTTGCATAACAATTGAATTATAATATTCAAATCGCAATAACAAAGAGAAAAACAAAAAAACATCGATGTTCATTTTGTTATAATTCTTCTTAAGAACTAATACATATTTCATGTAATCTGATATATTTACAGTGAAAAGTACGTCGCAATGAACGCCCGTAATTGAATTTTCCACCTGGTTTAATTGCAAGTACTTGAAAGATAAAGACTCGCATGTATCATATGACAAACCGCAATTTCCATGCAATAAACAAGAACGATTATATAAACTTACTCAGAATCAATTAATATATTATTAATAATAATAAACAAGCTATTATTATCATAGTCACAATAATAATTCATTGTCTGTAAAAAACGCGTGACAATCATATATATATATAGATGATTAAATACTATTGCGTTTGCCTTGGAAACATTTGAATATCTGTTTACTCTTTTGTTTGCTGCATGAGCCTAATTGCGGGTGAATTTGATGATAATTATTTGATTTTTTTATACAAATAATAACAATGGAATAATTTCCGTTTATTTAAAGCGACACGAGAGGACGAGGGTCCTTGATTCATTGAATAAATCATCGGAAGAACAACGAAAGATGTTAAATTAATTACAGGAAAATGTGAATTGAAAGACGGATGGGAATTTAGGTCGTTCTTAATAAACGAATTTGTAATATTTATTTTCTTATACGTTTTTTTTTTTTGGATATTTCCATGAAATATTTCACACCTTTTTATTATATTTTAACAAAAATATTCTTCTGGTATTTCTCAAGGCGTTAGAAAGTATTCGTAAGTTTCAATGTAGTTTTAATTATATTTATTTTTTGTAATATTTATCAATTCTCATTTCAATGAATGAGTAATAACGGTTATTTCCTATGATTATTTCATTCACAATTATTAAAAATATTCCATCCAAAATGTTATCATTGTTTATTTTTATTTGTATATTTTTATAAGCTCAATTTTACACAAAACTTAATTTATTTAATAATTTGTTACTTTATGAATGAATTAGAAGATATAACGATTTGTTGTTTCAAAATTTTAACATTTAAATCTCTTATTAAAAACTATTTCTACTCAACTTTCATTTTTGCGTATTCTCATCAGTATTTTGAACACAACTATAAACTAGAAATAAAATGCCATTAAATGGTTTTATTAATGAAATTTTAATTTCAAGTAATTAAATGAGGTTTTATGAATGAGTAAGCTACAAAATCCCTTGATTTTACATTATAAAATGACGAATTTAAACGTTAACAAAATATGCCTTTTAATTTCGCAGGTTTTTAACAAATAAAGTAAAAATCAACTCTTATTTCTAGTAAATAATTTGATATGGTTTTTATAAATGACTAATAAAAACAAATATTTGTCATAATTTTTCTTAAAAACTCACTAATTTCGTTGGATAATAATGATATTTCCACCAAACTTTAAATCAATTTTATTTTTGAGTATTTTCAACAATACTTTAAACCAATTCCATTTTCAAGTAATTAAATGAGGTTTTATTAATGATTAAGCAACAAAATCTGATATTTCACTAAAATTTACTTAATATAATTACGAAATTAAACGTTGATTAGTAAAGATTTCTACCAAAATCTAATGAATTTTATTTTCACCGATTTTTAGCAGTACACTTGGTTCTCTTTTTGTGCGGTAGATACGTTCCACAGGAAAACGCATAAAAATAAATCGCACAAAAAAGGACTAGACACACGTATAAAAATAAAGGATACGTTCCATAATTTTTTAAAACCGCATAAAACTAAATCAATGAGTTACAATATACCGAAAATCGCATAAAAAAGAGTTTATTAAATTTCAGAAAAATAATTAATCTTACTATATTCTCTCTGAAATGTTTATTTATAATTTTATAAAAACGTTAACAATCATAGACAAGTTTATTAAATATCAGAAAAATATAATCTTAACATATTTCTTCAAAATTTATACCGAAAAATTTTACAAAAGAAATACAGAAATTTTTTATGAAAGTTAATCTTTCTTTACATTTTTTCTTTAGAATTATCGTCTCTATATAAGAGTGTTCGGCATAATTTACAAACTGGTTCGAAATTTCTTTCATAAAAAGAGTACGCATAAAAAGAGGACCAAGTGTATTTTTAATAAATAATGTATAAATCAACTCTCATTTCCAGTAAATAATTGTATATAGTTTTTTGATTGAGAAAGCAAGATATTTTCCTTGGTTTTATATTACTAAATTTAAAATTTTATAGGTAAATATATTTGCTCATTTAATTAATTTTATTTTCGCTTTATTTTTATAATTATTTAAATTAGATATCCCGAAATCCCGACTGTATCAAAATCCCGACAATCAAAATCCCAACTAGATCGAAATTCCGACAGTGTCTTTTATTATTATAAATTTCTACAATAACAATTTTATGGTAGTCGGGATTTTGATTGTCGGGATTTCGAACGTCGGTTTTCAATAGACGGTCTTTCGGTTGTCGGACTTGCGATTGCCACCGAATGTATCTATGTGGTTTTATGAATGAGCAAGCAGCAAAAACTGACATTTCTTTTGATTTTACGTTAAAAAAAATCGAAATTGACCATCAATATTTTTTTTTCTTGCATCTTTTCAACAAATTTTTCAAGTAGAATTAATTATACATTAAATAATTGAATGAACACAAATATTTTATATAATTTTTCGTTTCAAAATTTCACATTTTCAACAATTTCGAAAATGTGTTTTTTTTTCTATATTTTTTTTTATCGAATTTAAAAATTACTTAATTATATCACATAAATTGTGGTTATTTACGAACGCAAAATTTGATTACAACGCGGGACAATCTGCTTGACACAAGCTTTCCTTATCAAAGTATTTCCTGTTATTGTCATTCATTGGAACCTCTTCTAGTTTATCAACTGTTTTGCAAAAAAACAATTACGGAATGCAGACATTCCCCCAAAAAAAAGTGTAATTGCATAGCTCATAATTATGACGCAATCAGGAGAAACGCGATCACTTTTTAATTTGTAATGCGGTCTCGCAATTCACGCGTTGACTCATTCCGACCGCTTTTGGCAGCTTTATATAATGAGGAAGTGAAATTTATTACAACTTTTAAGGACAAATCGTATAAATCGTTAATTGCTTTTGAACTGTACTTATTTTTACAAATCATGTTTACTTTGTTAGATTAAATAATTGATATTTTTTTACGAATTCGCAATCTTGAAGTGTCTTATTATGTATTAAGATTAAATTAGTGATATTAATTTGAGTCTGAGTCACTACATTGAAAATAATTTTACACACAAGTCACGTGTTTTCCAATGATAGATGTGACTTGCATTATTAGTAATCACAGCTGCTTACAATATGTTTTGTTCAGTTCTATAATTCTTAGTTGTCTGAATGTTCACTTAATCATTCACTTAATATTTACTTTAATAATGGATTTTAAGAAATTAAAAAAAATTTAAAGCAGTTCAATTAATTTAATTTTGAAAGATAATTACATAAAACATATTTAACTCAAATTAATTGCAATAAACCCATTTCATTCTCTGATTATTCAGCTTTAATAAGTTTATTCATAGTTGATTATAACCCTATTGGATTTCTGTATATTTACAAAAATGTGAAGGTGTTCAAAATTCATAAATTTTGATTTAAAAATTAATTACTTAAAATACACTAAACTGACATAAATAACAATAGAATCATTTAATTTCTTGATTAATCTGTTTTAATATGAGTATTTATAGTTGGTTATAACCCTATTGGGTTTCAAGATAATTACTAAAATGTGAAGGCGTTTATTTTCGAACGATCAAAATGTCAAGCTTAAATTATATAAAATGCACTAAACTCATATAAATCCCAATATAATCATTTAATTCATTAATTATTAAGCTTTAATACGAGTATTTATACATGGTTATAAACTTCTTAGATTTAAAGATATTTACAAAAATGTAATGTTGTGCAACATTTTTCACAGTCAAAATTTTAAGAATTTAAAGTTGAATTATATAAAATGCAATAAACTCACATAAATTCCAATAGAATCATTTAACTCACTGATTATTCAGGTAGGAGTATTCATATGTGCTTATTATCTTAATGACTTCAAGATATTTACAAATAAGTAAAGTTGTGCAAAACTTCAGGAATTAAAGTTTCATAATTAATTATGTAAAATGTACTAAATTGAAATAAGAACTAATAAAATCATTTAGTTCTCTGATTATTTAGTTTCCATACGAGTATTCATATGTCAACAAATGAAAGTTTTTACGTGAAATGTATAAACAATTTAATTTTTCTAATTTGAATTTGCATTAATTTCTCATCAAAAGTGTTGTATGATTTTTACTTAAATTAAATGATTTCATTTTACTAATAACTATAAGCAATATTCTGCTCAAATGTACACAAATAAGACTCATTTTGCCACTGGGTTAATTTATGTAAATTATATAAATGAAAAGTCGCAAAATGAAACTCTTTTACTTAAATTGTATAAATGGTAAATTCTTATTTACAACTAGATTGATTTTTGTAAATTATATAAAATATAAGTCATAAAATGAAACTCTTGAATTTCATTAGTTTTTCAATACAAGCAACAAAAATAATTTCATTTTTTTGGACGTTTTTACTTGAATTGGACAAATAAGTTCAATTTTATTAATAATTGTAAGCAACATTCTGCTTAAGACTCGTTTTACGACAGGGTTAAATTATGTAAAAGAAAAGTCGTAAAATGAAATTCTTGATTTTGCATTAGTTTCTCAGCACAACCAACAACAGAAATGTCATGTTTTTACTTAAATTGAATAAATGTGGTAAATTCTCATTTACAATTGGATTAATCTATGTAAATTACATTAAATAAAAGTCGTAAAATGAATTTACATTAATTTTTCAACACGAGCAACAAAAATAATTTCTTTTTTTTGGACGTTTGGATAAATAAATTCAATTGTAAGAAACATTTTTCTTAAGTGTATATATATATATATAAGACTCGTTTTACGACTGACGTAAAATAATACTCTAAAATTTACCTTAATTATTCACCTTGAGTAGCAACAAAAGTAATTGCATTTTTTTTCGTTATTTTCAATAGCAAAATGTAAAAATATGCTATGGTAATCTATATTTGCATTGCAAATCGTGTTTTCTTACAATTTTTACAAAAATAAAAATAAATCTGTCGATTTACACTGTATATTTCGAAGAGAGGATTGTAATACATTTCATTAACATAAATATACGATTACATCAACGTTACATAACTAATAATACTAAGTAAAGTATGCGCGAGGCTATGTACAAATGAAAATAATGGGAATTCTTATTGTATAATATTCGCACAGTTCGCAGTTGAATAATCCGGTTGGAAATATTCGAATAAAAAAAAATAATACTTTAATACATAGATTATGTTTACTCGTTCTGTCGTTTAATTTATATACAAGAAGATTTTGAGTTTTTTTTTTGTAAGGGCAAGAGAACAAAAAAAAATAGGAAACGTTTTACAGTCGTTGACCTACTTCCGTTCTCCGCGTCATTTACCGTCCTTCGGTTTGTCTTTGTCGCAGCAATCGTCCTTGTCGTCGTCCTTCTGCTCAACTTTGACCCTCGGACGACCTCCTCCTCCTCCTCCTCCTCCACCGCCGTTGTCCAAATACATGATCTGTCTCTTGAATGATAGATGATTGTTCGGAGCGATCATCAAAAGATTGTTACCGTTTCGATCGCAAAGCGGATGAGATATGAAATTCCTCCTGATCCTTGCGCGCATCCTTAAAGCCTGGTTCTGCGTGATCTGCTGATGACCGCTTTGTCTTATGGTAACCTCTTCGCATTTCACCTGAATCCCGCTTGGTCCGTGTCTGTGCTGCCATTCCAACACGTTCGACAACAATCTGATGTACCTTTCAAACAGAAACGTAAACATTCTTAACAAATTATAGTTGACATCTACTATATACTAATCACAGTTGTATTTTCATTGAACGTAAAGTAAACATCCGTTTAGTTTAATTGATAAAACTTTTAAAATAAGTATGTTTCAACCATAAACATACTACTATTCATTATTACAGTTTAATAGGAAATCAAAATGAAATAATTTGTAGCAAAAAAAATCCAATAAATCAAGGACAACATCTACATAGTAATAATTATAGTTGTAGTTTCGTTCAAATATAAATTTACTATAATTTATTAAACCATTTACATATAAATTAGCTTTTAACTAAAAACGAAGAAAATTATATAAATTTAAATAAATAAATAGATTCACGAATGTAAAACCGTGTAAAATCGAAAACGTGCAGTATTTTTATGAAAATTTTAAATTTATTTTATTTGATGACACCATTTACGTGAAAATAATAAAGTCGTTTAAATTATATTTTATGTGATGCGTTTTTAACGCCCGTTTGAGCTTTGATTATTTGATCGTCGAAGCGTAAAGTTAATTAATTTCAGATTGTAATCGTATAATTATTCACAGTTTTAATATGTCCATTTGATATGGATTAAACGTTATATTGCACGAACCTCAATAGCTTTAATTTAATTTATGCTGTAAACGAAAATTTACTGCTTTTATCCAACATTTGTATTTCATTTCATAGAAATTTTGCAGTTAAGAAAACTTATTAAATCTAAAATTTAATTATTATTATTATTGATAATATCAAAATGTTCTTGCTTTTATTTTAAATTTATTAATTCTTATAATTTCAATATAAAAAAAATCATTATAAATTTTGTTAGAAAATTACCGAAAATAATAATAATTAAACTTTGTCAAAATGTTTCAATATATTTTCAGTGTTTTTAAATATTGTCAACTATATTCAGGCAACGCGAAACACCTGCTTTTTTAATTGAACACCTTCATGAACACTTGAAGTTTAATTGAACATCTACGTTCTTATTGAACACCTGTGTGAACACATGGATTTTAATTGAACACCTGCACATAATTCAAACACCCGCACGAAAAAGCTGCAGCTACAAAGATAAGAAACACCTGCACGAAGCACATAAATTAAACAGCTACACGAAATACTAACGATCTTATTGAACACCTTCATGAACACATTAAGTTTAATTGAACACCTACGTTCTTATTGAACACCGGCATGAACAGCAGAATTTTAATTGAACACCTGAGTGAACACATGGAATTTAATTGAACACCTGCGTTCATTTCACACCGTACTATAGTGGATCAGCACTGATTGAAGCCGAACTATGCGTGGTATTGCCGTAATAAGTAATGTAATGATTTTCTATTTGAAATGTTTCTATTTAATAGTTTAAAATATTTGCCATCATTGGTAATTTTATTTAAACTTATTTATTATATGTTATAGTTAAATAAGGAAACAATTTTACAATTGTACAAATCTTTTTTAATTAAACACTTGCGTAAACACCTGCATATTAATTGAACAGCTGCACATAATTCAAACACACGCACGAAACACCTCCGTTTTAGTTACATTTGCAAAGATAAGAAACACCTGCACGAAGCACTTGCATATAAATAAAACAGCTACACGAAATACTAACGTTCTCATTGAACGCCTTCATAAACACCTGAACGAACACCTGGATATTAATTGAACACCTGAGTGAACACATGGATTTTAATTGAACACCTGCGTTCTTTTCACACAGTACTATAGTGGATCAGCACTGATTGAAGCCGAACTATGCATGGTATTGCCGTAATCAGTAGTATAATGATTTTCTATCTGAAATGTTTCTATTTAATAAAGTTTAAAATATTTACCATTATTGGTAATTTTATTTAAACTTATTTATTATATGTTATAGTTAAATAAGGAAACAATTATACAATTGTGCAAATCTTTTCTTTAAATGAATTTCTGTTATGAAATATGTTGCCTATTATGTGAAATAAATTATATAATTACAAAAAATACATATTGATTATATTATTGCTGTTAAGAAATATGTATTTTTAAACTGAATTCGCATATTTTTCTATGTGTATTTGTATTATGATATCAAATAACAATGATGAATGAAAATGTGTATTTTTGTAAATGTATTGAATTATTAACATTTGTCTGCTCATTTTTTAATTGTATTTTGTAAAGAAAAAAACAGTTATATATCGAAGTTTTGTTTTCTTAATGAAATGTGTGAAATTACCTTATGGCCATTCTGAGGATTTCGTTCTTGGAAAGCTTCTTATCCGGCGGATGCGTTGGTACGAGCTTCCTCAATTCAGCAAAAGCCCCGCTGACGTTCTGCTGCCTCCAACGTTCTCTGCTATTAGTGAAGATCTTCTTAACAACTCCTCTGGGCGCCGAATCCACGTTCTGATTCTGCGAAATCAAAGACAATTCTTCACTTAACCCACCCTCAAAATGATAGTGTTTCTAATAATAAACCTGTATCATCGATTGCGAACTCGTCTTCTTCTCATCATCACTATCCAGCAGAGAAAATTCGTCAGAGTAATCATCCTCATCAGACATCGAATCATGCTCATGCTGGTAACAGTTGTCCTTTCTCCGTGCGTTATTCGGAGGTGAAGATGTGGTGCTGTAATCAGTGTTCTCGCCATCCCCGGACCATTCCATATCCACCGCCGTCGGATTGAACGTGATCGGCTGTTCGGGGTGAAACAACAATTTTATCCAAAATCAATTTATTATTTCCTCTCACAAACCATTTAATTGATGCTCGCTTGAAACTTGATGTAATCTGGTGGTGCGCTGGGCTGATTCGATCCTGCTTCCTGATTTTTTCACAACCAACTGAGATTATCATGTGGACTGTGGGAGAGGAAGTGCGGGCGCCCCATATCATCGGCGTACAGACTGGTCCTTATCAGAGACTCCCCCGCACAAACCAATGGCCGTTCGTTAAGGGCGGATGCTTATTTCGGATACGCCCACCAAATCGCAGCCTCCTCTCTATATGGATTATTCAAATCAACGCCATCCACCCGAATTTTATCATCCTCTCAAACACCTTGCAATCCACACAAACACTCATCAAACATAAATCAACATATTTGTAAAGGTAATTAATCTTTTCTTCTTAAAAGTTTATTTAGTAACATTTCTATTAGATATTATATATTTAAATATCCTTTTTTTATCAGAAATTTGAATATTTACACTAATTGCAACAATAAATTAACAAAATATAGACTCAATAGAATAACAAAAATTAAATTAAACTTCTGCAAAGGAAACTTTTGTTACAACTTAATAGATATATTTCTTACAAAACAACACAATTAAAAACTTGTTAGTTTCTATTTTAATAGCAGCACAAATTTCTACATACATCACTTACATAATTTATTAATAAATCTATGTTTTTATAAGGAAATAAATTTTACAATTGCTACATTTATATATTTAAAAAGCAACGTAAGCATTCCGTACGTTATATAAGTCATTAATAAAATTAAATGTATTCAGAAGCAACGAGATTTGCAACTTTATATTAACAAACTATAGGTTTTCAAACGTGATTTAGATCATTGAAAATCCCAGAAATTAGTTTATATTAACTTTAATTACAATATTTTACTTTCTTTCTAAAATATACAAGCTTGTAATATATCAAAATCAATGCAGTTTTATCAAGATCTATTTTTAATTCTTTCATGTATTTACACATTTTCTTTTTAACAATTTTTTTGAACAAATTAAATTTATATATGTTTTTTTCTAATAAATCATGCATTTTCAAAACAAACTCAAACTATATTAATTTATAATTAACGATTTTAATTTAAACACAAATCTTAACTTTATTCCATTCCATTCCATTCAGTAAAAAAATATTTCTTGTTTGTTTTATATTTACGCAATTATTACCAAAAATCCATCATATTTTCTGTACATAATTAATCAATGAGCACTTAAATTGATAGATTTACTAGTAAAAACGCTGGTTTTCAATAAAAAATGTGAATAAATCATTAACTTTATTATAACAAATTTTAGTTAATAATGAATAAAATAATTAATTAATTTAGTTTTGGTTAGTTTCTCAGTACATTAGCGTTCTCAGTAGCGTTTTCTAATCGTAACACCAAGCTTTATCACTATGCATAGAGTTTGTTGACATTTATTGAAAGCGGAATTTCCGGACGGAAATAAATGCAGCTGCATACAATGTAAATCTAAAAATAAAGTAACGTTTAGTTTCAATTATATCTCATGTAAATATATTCTATAGACAAAATTAATTACAATTGAACATTAACATATTTTTAGTGCGTATTTCTAAGAGAAAACAAAGATATTTTTTTAGCAATTTAAGCTATAACAAATTGGCTCTACACATATACAAAAAATGCACTAAAACGTAATAATCCTGCTATAAATTGCTAAAAATTAATATTATTAATAAAAGTTTTATTTTTATTGGGTTATAGCAATACCTTTTATAGTCCGGCTTCGATCAGTCCGAATTATCTTTTAAAAATAATGGTTTTTCTTGTATAAAGTATTTTTAGCAACTTAGTTTGTTGTTTAAATTTATTTGATTATTTTTTGAATTCATGACGTTTTTCTCCAAACTTTGTTTATTTTTTACTTTAATTGAAACTACATATTATGTCTAGTACTTGAAAAAGCATCATTAGCGTAGATTTTGATTAGTTACGTGTATAATATATAGAAGAATTTATTGTTTTGAAAAAATTTAACAATAAAATTTTGATGATCATTGATTAAAACGTTCAACTGAACTCTGACTGTACTCAAAAGTTCATTTTGAAATGCTTGCTGTATTTTTAACTTTATTTAAATACATTTTAAGTTTATTAGAATTTTCAAACATCTATTGAATTTTGTAACCATTTCGTTCATTTTAATTGATTCAAACTAATTATGTAACATTATATAAAATGTACGTATTATCAAATGTAATAACAGTTTAAAATCAAAACCTTCACTTTGTAAAGAATGACCATTTTTAATATTTCATGCTTTTAAAATTTTGTTCGTGATTAAAACTTATTATGCAAATTGAGATTAACTGTACGTATGATCGAACATAATAAATTTAGAATAAACATGTATGTTTAAGTGAACGCTGGCTGCACTTTTGCCTCTTTTTTCACCCCAATTAATACATATTAAATTTATTAGATTTTTCAAATATCTATTGGATTTACAATAAAATCGTTCATTATTAAAACTTATTATGCAAATTGAGATTAACTGTACGTATGATCGAACGTAATAAATTTAAAATCAACATGTACGTTTAAGTGAACGCTGACTGCACTTAAACGTTTACCTCTTTTTTCACCCCATTTAATACATATTAAATTTATTAGATTTATTATATATCTATTGGATTTTGAAAAAAAAATCGTTCATGATTAAAACTTATTATGCAAATTGAGATTAACTGTATGTAAGATCAAACGTAATAAATTTAAAATGAAAATGTACGTTTGAGTGAAAGTTGACTGTACTTTAACGTTTGCCTCTTTTTCATCACATTTAATACATATTAAGTTTATTAAATTTTTCAAATATCTATTGGATTTTGAAAAAAAAAAAATTCGTTCATGATTCAAACTTATTATGCAAAATAAAATTAACTATACGTACGATCGAACGTAATAAATTTATAATCAAAATGTACGTTTAAGTGAAAGGTTACTTTACTTTAGCGTTTGCCTCTTTTTTCACCCCCTTTAATACATATTAAATTTATTAGATTTATCAAATAACTATTGG